TCGAACACATGGTAAAAACGGAACATGAAATATAATTATCTCAAACTAGTAGGTTTGCTGATTATGATACGCCTGCAGTTAAAAGAAAGATAAGAGAGGGCACTGCAATTCATAACTTAGGCCATACATTAAATATGAGGAGCCGTGGTATAAAGTTGAGTATGAATTATTTATGCTTGATTGATAGATTTAAGGAGAGAGAGAGTGTTAAGCCACCATCCAAAAGAAAGTGACCAAACTTGTCTGCTCGGTGATGCTTCTAACTTCACTCACTTGTCCAACATGTTAGATTGAGCTCATCAACAAACCAAACGTGTCGGATTACTCAGTTCCAGTCATGTCTTTCCTTGAGTGGTTAAACGTTAATGATCCTTGACTGAGAGGTTAGAAATAGTGGTTTCGTAACTTGACTTGCATGCTTACAGGCTCATATCTCATTATCTCAATCATACTTGCTTACGGACTTACGCAGTCACAATCAGGGCTTTCTTTGAGGTCATTAGGCGTTGATGATCAGAGCCTAACTTTAAACATTTGATAAATCTGATTTAGGACCGGTATTGCGTATAGAAGCTAACACACACACGCATACACTCGAGCAAAAGTAGCAGGTTTAGTATGAAAGATAATTAGCTAAGCCGCTCCATATATATAAAGGTTTTTATTTTCTTTTGCTTAATTGAGTCTATGTATAAGGTAAGATAGAGCCGGATAGTCTTCTTGATATAGTGTTAACTAAAGACTTTTACAGGAATGAGACCCAGCTGTGATGATGTGCATCATATGATGCGCGAAAGCTCAGTCCGTTATCACCCGAAACGAGGGAGGTCTCGTTGACTGCGTCAACATGAACGTCGAATAAAAGCCAAACGGCTGCAGTACAACGGGATTCATCCGTCCTCTTCTGGTGAGATCGACCTACGAAGCACTTCTTCATGCACTTTCATACAAAATGAAAGTCCCTCTAACAATGTTATCTCTGGAGATTCATCCAAATTCAGTTTCTCTTCGTATCTGATAGAGTGGTCTAACTTCTTATTTAGCCCCAAATATGTATTTACCTCTATCCTACTTGACAATATTCTCAAATAGTTATCAAATAGCCCTCTTTGATAATTATTCTCAGAGCCAGCTTTCGATTGGCTTTACTGGAACATTCATGGGGACGTTGTTTCCGAAGTAATCTCCTTCAATTCCTGTAAAAAGGTGCTTACCTAATTATGAAACAAGATATTTCTCGAAACCCAACTTTTCTTCGCATAATTATTCTCCACCAGAATTCGCCTTAGTCTACTCAGTTCCTAGTCCCGAGGTTTAACATCTGCCAGACACAGACTCCTTATTATCATAGACTTCATGATTCTTACTTTAACCCCATAAGTTTGATTGGAGAAGAAATTCAAAAGGAAACCTAATCTGGTCACCTATTTGCTAACTAGGACATCAAGAAAAGGTAAAGCACCTTCCTTTTCTAACTCGATGGTAAATTTCGTCTTCCAAAATTGTCATATTCATCAAACCCAGAAAATTATCTAGGTTGTCTTTTTGTCTCTTTGACGAGTTGTAATATGGTGCTACGAATGGCCAGACTCACTGGCGATGCCGACTACGATGCCGGCGAAACGTCTGGGAATGTACCACGTCCACGGTCCTTCTCTGGAACTAATTATGCAGACAATGGACTCAGGACAAGGTGCGTTTCTATCAGTCTTCCTACCAATATGACTGAGTTGCGAAAACAAGGTCAAACAACTTCTTGATGCATACAATGGACTCCGGACTAGGTGCGTTCCTCTAAGTCTTCCTACCAATATGACCAAGTTGCGACGTGGCGATACTGGCGATGCCGGCGAAACGTCTGGGAATGTACCACGTCCACGGTCCTACTCTGGAAACGATGCTGCAGACAATGGACCCCGGACTAGGTGCGTTCCAATAAGTCTTTCTACCAATATGACCAGTTTCGAAAACAGCATACAATGGACTCCGGACTAGGTGCGTTCCTCTAAGTCTTCCTACCAATATGACCAAGTTGCAAAAACAAGGAAAACAACTTCTATCTAGGTTTTATTTGCCACGTTGCCAAATGGCAAAGTAGTCGTCCATATAGGGAACCAA